TATTTCTCGAACATGAAATTCGCAAAAAAAAAACAATAAGCAGGTGACTTAATTAGTAAACAAGAAAACAAGTATTCAGTTTTGAGTTTTGTGTTATACCTCTGTGCTTGCCGATGTGTGAAGCGAAAAAGTCGTAGCGACAAATTGGCAAAAATGGTATGCTAGTGTTTTCAAAAAAAAAATAGAAAAAAATACTACTCGTTAGAAAAAAATATATAAAAAATGGTTATTATTACCACCATCGTTATTATTCTAATTATTGTCGTGACTATTATTTTTCGTACTCATAGGACCCAAGACGACATTCCTATAGACTGAAAAGACATCCTTTATTATGATCTAAGATTTAATCTTTCGTTGTTTTTGTAGTTACTATTGATTATGCCTACTTATATTATAATTATTGTTATTGTCAGTTCAAGTTTCCAGTAGGTCCAAGGCGACACAAAGCTCATTGTGCTTACTTTTCGAATACACATGGGCACCGTAATGAATCCCGAGAGCACGTTTACGAGCAATGTGAACAGATAGTAGATGTAGAACAAGGGGACAAATGGAATACAGCAGTGAATCATGTTCCGTTTGCCGCTCTGAATCATCGAAATTTTAAACCAGTTATTAACCATGTTTTTCAGAAGCAATAGATATGACTATTTTTGTTGATATACATGTTGGAGAACTGAAAAAGCTTTTCATATGCTAAAAAAGGAGTATTGCACTTTTTTGGCGAATCATCGGATCTCTGGGTGATGCCTTCCCGGCCTCTTCACGTCAATCCCGCCTCCAAACCATGTGTTCAAAGGCAAACAGAAATTTGTCTGCAGAAACACAGAAAGCGAAAGGGTACTTGAATTCATATTCCCTCATATTATGCCGAGAAATTGCCGTGATACGTCACTCTCAACCCTAGAAAATTCCAGTCCGGAAACCCCCAATTTTTTGTTTGCGGTTTTGTTGGATCTGGTCCTCCGTTACGGGTCTTATCCACCTAACAGCCAGCAATTGGTTGGGAGTCTAAATTAAGGAGCGGGGATGAGACGAGCTGTAAGAGGATTTCATTTTCTTAGAAGCTGGTGAAAACACACTCAAGTCACATATTCTCTAAACGTGACCACCAAGTGACCTCACCGTTAAAATAGGTTTGAAAAGAGGAAATATGTTCTTTTTTGGTGTCTCATCAGACAAAATGATCGTGTCCTGGATGGTTTTTGCTTTAGTTTCCGGCTTTATCCCCTGATTCGTCGCCTCTGAAATGGAAAAATAATACTAAAAGTTTTCTTGTTGTTAGAACAAAATTATGGAACTCTGATATTTACTCCGAATCTCCACGTACGATAACAAATGCAATGCAGCATTCCATAAACCTTCTGCCGAATTCCCAGCATAAGCCATCTGAAGCAAGGATCTGTCATATAAGACAAGTGTTAGCTAAAAAAATTTCGGAAAAGAAAATGGTGTAAGGTATAGCCTGAAAGTCACTTGTATGAATTATTGCCCGAGTTCCTCTTACGACATTGGATCGGTAGGCAACTTATGGACCTAACTAATGGGACAAAGAGGTTTAAGAAAGGTGGCCTCCTTTTGCCCTCGTACTTGTCCAAATGGGACAAGACCCTAGAGAAGGGACCCCTGCTTAGCTCGTTGGTATGCCATCTGAAGTCACTTTCACTTCTCATTCTGGAATACGTGCCTCTGAATCAACAGGAACTGACTGCACAGTCGAGAGTAGCGATTCTTATCACGACTTTAACACAACTTCGTCCTATAAAATCAAGGTAGCAGCATGTGAGCACTACTTTAAATGGGATATCGAGTTCGGTTTGCTTTCAGTGGAAGTCAACAGTAACCTGTCCTAGACAGATGACCCAGCGGTTGAATGGGCATCTACGACCCTAAATCCGCTATATAGTACTCATACAAATTATTTCCATCATTTACGGATAGCAACTTTCTTCACAGATCCGGGAGTACTGTTCCTTAGATCATGGGCTCCTTTTACTTGATTATCACTTGATGATTTAACGGCAATATAGGCCAAAAAGTGCTCCTAGCTTACCGTACCTCAAACGTCCCATCAGAGTCCCCGACGGAGACGATATCGCCGTTGCTGGCAAATTTGATAAGGTCTGTTAGTACCGAACATTTGTCTCCTTCACCATAAGCAGGAACACAACGCCTGAATCAGGTCTCATGGGACTTTCGAACTTTTTCTGCTACTCGTGCATGTGAAGGGGAGTTTGGAGAAACAAAAAAATCAGAGTGCTTACATTACATAGGCATGAACCGGCGCACTGAGAATCAGCTCCTCGGCATCATACTTGGACTTGCAATAGTCCTGGAACAATCGATAGGATATAGAAGTTATGTGAACTAAAAATAAGTTAAGTTCTCTTCAGTTAAGATAGCTTCTGCATTAGAAGTAAGTAAGTTGTAATATATTAATTTTTACCATTAAATGAGCTAGCTAAGAAAAATAGCTAGTAAAATAAGTTGTGTTGAAACCTACCCAAAATGGCCATTGGTCCATATATTTGATAGGATCGGCTTCCCCTTCGAAGACATTTGGCCAACGAGATGAACATTGTAGAAACACAGAGGACAGATGTATGAGAGGGCATCGGATTGAAGACAGTACCGTTTTGACAACTAAATGGCTGGAACTATTACTTTGATATAGTTAATAGCAAGGTCGATTGTAAAGGATCCAATGCTGAATCCCTCATTGATGCTTTCATGTCACATCGACACATGAATTGTCTGATAAAAACATAAGAGACTCGAACATGATGCATTACACTTGGTCTGTTCATTTCGCGCGGCGATCTTTAGCTAGTTGTCTCACCGCGCGGCATGTCGTCGAACATTACGCACTCAACATGGAATACGAAGTGGCTCCTTACGGCTTGGATGTGATCCTTCCCCTGCATAGGTTAGTTAATCATTTCAATGAGCGGTATGCTTACAGCCAACATTGTGAAGCCATAGGCGTTCTTTGTCAGGTAGAAGACTCAAATCCTGCACTTCATGTAGATTGAACACCTGAAAGTTTTTATCATTGCTATCTTCACGTGCTGCTGTGTACCCATCTCTTCATACTTACAATATCAGATCGCTGTACCACATTTTGAAGAGCCTCCATTCCGCTGGAGTGGTTTATGGACGACAGTTCAATGCCTGAACGATTTGGATCAGTACACTCGTCGGGTGCTGTTGGAATATGGGAAGAAATCAGTACAGATGAATTTACGGAAGATCTGACTGAGGCTTTCAATGACGGTTCCTCCGCCCATAACTCGGTGAGTACGTTAGAGACCGATGAATCTCTTGGACACTAGGAATCTCGATCAAAATTAGAGGCTTTCTGAGGCTCCACCGTGTTTTTTTCGGCTTGACAGTGGGCCATGTTTCCTCTGATGCTCCAGATAATGATTTTATTTGCTTATTTCCTTGAGTAGTTCCACAGACTACTCAAGAAAAGTATCGCGCCCCATTTCTCTTGAATTAAGGGAAACTCAGCTTAATGGAAATGGTCTGGTTTGAAGTATGCGCAATGTAAGTCTTTACTTTTTTTCGTACGAGCTAATTAATGAATCTGGCACCCTCCTGCGATCAGGGGAAATAAATTTAGTCAATGGTTCCGTGGTTAATATGTAGTGTCAAGCAGTTGGTACCACAACCGGAAATCTAACAGTTGTCTGCGGTCTGCATCAGAAGGTTATTTTTCCTAGGAATTCTGCTTATAAGAATGCTTGAGAGCTCAAGCGGAACTACTAATCACGGAGATAGTTCATGTGAATGACAAGAGTCTTCATGCCCCTAGATGTGAGCAGTAAATAGATAAGAAATAAAAACAAATTTACCAGATAGTCTAGGCTCAAATTTGCCGGAATATGTCCATGTGTTCAGTTCCACCGATGTGTCAGAAGAACGCTGGATGTACTGGACGAGATGTTGCCCAAGCAATGAATTCGCTCCAAGAATGGTGACAATCATTGTGAGCCCGCTGGAAATCGATCTGTAAGAGCCAGTTTTGCATCATAACGGAACTATCGATAGGCATACGAGTATTCGAACGATTTTCTATTTTTTTNTTTTTTTCTGGTTAATTTGATAAGGCACTACATTTTTAGTAATATTTGACCCGATCAGGGATATTTGTCCCGATCAGGGATATTTGACCCGATCAGAGAAGAGTAACAGAATCCAACTTTGCTCGTTAGCGAGGGGGAGGGTCGACTGAGAGGGTTCGAAAAGCTGTTCAAATGAAATTTTAATGGTGAATCAAACGTTAAGCATTTTCTTGTACAGTTGAATAGTTTCCGAAAAGATGAAAGTACGAGTAAAGTGGGAAGCGGGTAGTGAACGGATGTGGGAGGGGAATGCACTGGTTAGGACCAGCTACACATCGATAACATCCCCAATGACCTACATCATGGGGTACGCAGATCAAGTGGAATTACTCCGGAAGACCTACGTTCATCAGCCTTTCTGAATTACCCGGAGGATTCCTACCCAGTCTCTAGCTAGGCAGCCTTCCTAATGACTCTCAAGTGCTTGAGGTTTTTCAGTCATTACTTCAGCCTATCTAGGCATTAGTAATGGCTAATAAGCATAAACAAACATTGTGGTCTGAAAANAAGCCGGATAGCCTCCATGTGACGGACGGTACGGATCAGCGGGTCGCATATGAGTCAAAACATTCCTTTGAGGTCACACCGTCGAAACCAAGTCGTAGGTGGCTGCGAGACCTTCATCATTCAATACAAATATCGATGGTCTTGACACGACTAGCTGATAACGCTGCAAGATGATGGCGCGTCTCGATACATGCTAGAGGTGATAGGTGAATGATTTTTTCGAGTCTCAAAGCGAGCCAGCTCATCTACTTATCAAGCCACATTCTGAATCGAACCAACACTATCATCGTTTCAATTCAAGATAGTCACATCTTCAAACTCACGGGGGTATACTCATTTTTATAGTCGACGTCTCAGTAGCACCCCAAACTTTCTTCACGAGACAAAGCAAGATCACCCTGGTAATTCTGATCAGCTTAAATAGTTGCAGTTTATCTGAAGTGTCTAGCTTCTTGTTAAGGTTGGAACATGCCTGGTGGGCGGACCTACGAGCAGGTGAAAACTGGTGGAGACGGATATGAGCAGCCCGATCCGGAGCATGAGTATATCCGGATAGCGGGAGAACCTACTGAACCGAAAAAAGCACTCCCTCAGAAGAAAGCGAAAAAGCTAAGGTGTGATTTAATGAACGAATACTCCGTCATAACAATCGTATCAGAATATTTCAGATCTAAAGAAAAAAGCCATGATGATGTCAAAATACCCGTATCAGCAGGAAAGGTGTTGAAGGGTAACTAGTATTAAGCAATGATTTGTGGGTTACTGTGCAAACAAAGGTAGAGGCTGTGAATGGGACCAAAGATAGTGATGCCTCTAACACTTACTTGGCCTTCAGATCTCGTATAAGCCTACTACTTATAGCCGAGGAAACCAAATATTTTTCATAGAAATCGAATGCGTGGCGGATCCTAAATAGGAGGGTATGAGCTCCTCATTGCGGGTTCATCGCGTTCGTTTGGAGCATAACTGTGTTTGCGCGATTACCGTAGCTCTTTGTTCTTCACTATGTTTATTGAACGATTGTAAACTGCAAACACACTCCCATCGAGCCCATTTTACTATGCCATTGGATTGACTAGTGGGAAAGTTCGATTTGTTAAAATGAAATGATGGGATCAGTTATATGGGCTATCTCACTCCGTTAGTCGTTGATTCTCTCGAAGATTTCATTCTTCCATCGAAATCTCGTAACTAAATGCTCCCTGCTCAGCCGCAGCTGCAAAATGCAGCAAAGATTCCCTAGCCGCTGAACAAATACGACATCTTTTGGCTTCGAACTGGTAATTTTCTCAATACTCCATCATAGTTTCTCTACAGTCCCATTCGATAGATAGAGGTATGGTGACAAGGGAGTGGGAGATGTGTGAGAAGTAAGGAGACGTTATAGGAACTAACTTACCAAAACTGGGATAGGGTTAGCGTAACAACCACCATACAAAGAATATCGGGTCTTCAAGGGGCACTTATAGACTCTTACCCAGGGATTCGATGTTCTTCGCATGTTATGGTAACCTTAACCCCGGTTGAGCAAAGTTTAGTACTTTAAAGGTCATACAGTGTCAAACATAATGTAGGGCAAATAAAAGTTTAGTTTAAATACTTACTTCTCCGAATTTTTCAGTGAATGCAGGTGACAAAGGTGTAGGCAACCTTTCGAAAGTGGTGAGTCCGACTTCTAGTGAACTATTCCTCTTTTTTTTCGCTTTTCGCTTGCGTATACTCATCAGAATGTGCCATTGCAACCTACGCATACATGTATGCATCAGTCCTTGGCGAAATGCTTGTACCGTGCGCGATGTTAAGGTTTCGATGGCCGCGATGGCATCTCCTGACCCTATCCCCGAAGTGATCTTTCAGAAAATTCTCATGATGATCCTGGCAGTGATTTTCACTCAGTTTTTGGTGATAGTGATCGCGATTGTTGTTGTTCTTCTTCATCATGCTAGAGTTATTGACTGGTTGGTTATTTCGACAATTTGGAGAGTTTGCTGATTTTCCTAATGAATGCGCATACTTTTAAAGAAAAAAACCTTTAGGTTTCCGGCTTTGAGCTCCCTCACGGGCCCTGGATATCCCAGGGAAGTTTCGAGTGATATGTTGAAAGATGGCTGACGTTTCAATTGACCCGGATCAGGCTACCAATTGCAACTTCATTGTTTACTCCTACTTCATGACGTCTAATTATGAAGCTTATTATCGCTGAAATAAATATTTAATTGTTTCTTAGACTGCAAATACTTCGGCTCTGATAGCCACTACGTTTTAGCCAGTTGATGAGCTCTTGTTTTTCAGCGGGATTTTCATAGCGTTTAGAAAAACAAGGGAGCAGGGGTTCTCAAAAACCGCCCGAAGCACACATCCCGCTTCGTAGGCATAGCCTTACAGTTGGACCAAACATTAACGAACGCACTGTTCATAAAATGGCTGTTGGTACACTTCGAAAAAAGCCAGTTATGATTGTCGCACAAGATTTAAATCCTTGAAGTATTGGTTCACTAATCAACTGATTAGTAGGTGGGAAAGCTTGCTCGCTTTGCGAAATTTTCGCTTCAGTATCGGTCGTCAGAGATGGTTGCAAAATTTGGTTTTTTAACCCAGCAGTGAAACAACTATTTCTCGAACCATCACCGATTCTGATAATTCTTCTGTTTCCCTAATTAATACAAAGCATAAATTGAAATATCTAGTTTATCTTTTGCACCATCAGTGACAGGTCCGTCATCTATTTTCTAGGAAGTACGAAATTTCGACTCGATTTCTTTGGTGAGTTGGCTACTGCTTTGGAGATTCTGAAGGCAACGTCAGCGTCCTTAATTGTGATCAGAAGTCCGTGCTTATCGAATGACCTGAGATCTTATGGAGCTCCACAAGTCACTGGGACTCTTTCCCTGTTAGGACTATCTACGGAGTGAGGTGGATCGATCACCTCACTCCGTAGACAGTCCTGACAGTCGGCTTTACCAGAGTCCAAGGAATATGGAGCCTGTAGTTCTGCCGGTTACACATTCATTCCATCAGGAAGATTTCCCTTCTCTGATGGGCTGAACAGCGATATTCATTGTAGGCTAGTTCGTTATGTTTGTCTCGATATCAAGTGTTGAGCCTATGGTATCTGGTAATGGGCTAAGTTTCTGGCTGCCCCACCGTGGATGACATCTATATATGTAATATATTATCAAAATGACAGATACGGGAATCACTGTAGTCACCGTGGATAGTCGCATTTTTGTCACTACCATAATAGATGTAAGGGCATTCAAAGGACAATCACTGATTGAACTGCGAGCTCAGCCCAAAAGCACGCTCCATTGCGAACCACGCGCTCGGTTACCACTTTGTTACAGTGTCCAGCTTTCAGAACAGTTGTGGGGTAACCATTTCATTTTTCTCATTCTGCACATCTTTCGTTCCAAGTGTTCACTCGAATTGCCTGATTTGCTTCGACGTAAGTGGTAATGCTGTAGTTCAGGGTACAAATGTCGACGGAGAACGAAGACCAACTGAAAGAGAACGTAGATCCTGCGGAAACTGTCAGTGAGCGGAATGAGGTATGCTTGGACCTTTTCGCGCTTCTAAATGCACTTTTTCTACAAAGTGGCAAGCGGCTTGCATGTTCTACGTTGGATCTCAGGAGATCGCACCGCGGTATAGTGCCTAAGTCAAAGGACCTGTTGAATGCATGATTTTCAGTTATTGTGGGTGTGGACCTGGTGGGGATGAATATTTAACGAAATTGGCCCAAATTTTTGACAGGCTATTGTTTACAACATGGAGAATGCAAAGGGGAAGGGGCGAGGCAAGTTATTGATGGCATGAACAAGTTTTGTTCGGCTGCAGTGAGCGTGTGATCATACTGATCTGTCCGTGAAGGTAAATACACCTCTGTCGAGAGTAAGTTGGGTATATATTGTAGTCTGGCTATGATGGAGAGGCTTGACGGGTGTCGACAACATGCCAATGCAAAGTCTGAATGAAGTAAACGGTCCTTGATGCTTTTTTCTGGCAGCCGACTACCGAACGATGTGCTGAGCGTTTCTCAGTGACTCTTCACCCACGAGCTGAACTGCTCTTCAGACGCACTGCTTTGTGATCTCTATTTGTAAAAGATATTGCGTCTATCGTAATGTCTTTAGTATTAAACAGTTCCGCTTTGGGATGAGTCGAGATTCGACTTCTGCTTAGAATTGTAGAGGCGTACCGAGTGCCTATACGGTCTATACAATGAGTTGCGCTGTTCGGCCAATGTATAACCCGGTGCTTTCACTTCTCCAGATGAGCATGGTACTAATTAACCGACTCGTAGGGATGGAAGGCTTGAGTATCGAAGTAAGTATCGATCCGTGATCCGATCTCAGGAACATGTGTGTGTAATGGTTCGCCACTTGCCACCTTACCACCCTCGCCCTTACAAAAAATGAAACAGAATTGTCGGTCGGCCGGGAATTCAGATAAGGAAGCCTATCTCGAGGATGTATCTCGAAACCATTAACAACTCTGATGTGGGTACATTCTTTCTACCCAGTTAATGCCATGTCTGTCATATTTTCTCTTTTTTTGAACACTTCACTGTTAAGAGGAAATGCATAGTTTTTGTTGGGTCTACTTGTTTTTTTTATTCAGTAAAGCACGATCGTGATTCAGAGTTAGTGGGTTACAGTTCCTCCCTTTTTGTTTGTAATGAGGAACTGATTTGAAACAATTCGACAACTTCCCTAATTTTGTCATTTTTTGAAGCGTTAAAAACATTCACAAGACTTCTTTTTTGCTTATTTGCTATCGGTTCAGGTGGACTGGTTGAAGGAAGAAATTCGCAAATTTGCTGGCCTTGTAAATGATTCAAGTGTTCGACTTCACGTACAGGCATACACACAGCTTGTTAAAGTAATCAATCACGTTGAAGGTCAGTCTATTTTTCTTTTGTTTCTGTCTTTAACCAAGAAATAATGGTTTTTTCTTATTAAGCTGTGCCGGAGCCATTCATCAAGGGAATTGTGAAACTTGCTGTTAACGCTGCCGTTCTTCGTTATTGTCATCAAGCAAGTTTCAAGGTGAGCTCATTACTGGAATCGGCTTCACTTAATCAAGTTTTTATTCTCAGGCTGTGGAAAATCTGCTTAATGTCTTGGCTAAACATGACCCTGGGGTGACAGGGCGTTCGCTGGCTCAAAGCGTTCT